CGGAACCGACAGGTTTTTTTTTTTTTTTTTTAGGAGCCATCTTCATTGATGACAACAACTAGAAAAAAAACCCTCAAAAGTTAGGGGCCTGGCTAACGGTTTTAAGGTGTATTGGCGACCTGCCTCCTGGGATTTGTCCAGCCCTGGTCTACACGCTGGTCGGTAAGGCATGGTCGGTAAAGATGGAGATGGTTGGGCAGAATCTGATAAGATAGAATATCGGGTCTAATTTTATGTAGCCACAGCTAGGGTTATGTATTACACAACGAGTAGAAAAAGATAAGGTGCCCATAGGCATTGGATGGTAGTTGGGGGAGCTCCATTTATGGGTCAGCTTAGCTAATTGTTTTTGGCTATGGAGGAGGGAAGGAAGAATGCGGTCTTACCTCACTCTCTGTGCCACTAATCTCGGGGCATAGGAGTAAAGACAATGGCCATCAAGACAGGTTATCTGACCAGGCCGATGGATGATCTTTCTGAAAGGGGGTTGGTTGGTGGTCAACTGCTGACCACCAGGAGTTTCTCTTTTCTTTTCCTCTCACTTTGTTTGGCTTCAGTTCTAAGATGCAAGCTATCAGGATTCCTTATATCCCTTTGTCAGGCTTTATACATTTCCCTGAAGAAGGGATCTAAGGAGTCACAAAAGCCTTTAATAACGTAAGTTAGCTTATAAAGAGTATTACTTAAATCCCAGACTGTCTCCATTAATCGATAGCCAACACGGTACAAGATTCTACAACTATTGTTTGCAAAAACAATGCCAGGGTCTGGAAGATCGCACACTGGTTTTCACTATTCTCCGACCTTACCATAAAATTCCTCTTTCTATGCTATAAGTAACCCAGGAATCCCTTTCTTATACTGAAAGCAAATGTGGGGTGCCATTGTTGACCTCCTCTTGAAGATGCTAGTTGAATGGTTGGCTCTGACTTCAATACTGTGGCACTGACCTGGGACAAAAATGTAGATCAGTGTGGGTAACCTCGGCACTCAAGCTGTAGTGCAACTACAAGTCCCATGAGGCAATGTAGATCAAGACAGAATGAAGTCTCAAACTGTAATCTGCATACTTACTCCGGGTCAAAGTACTGAGGTCATAGGATAAGCATGGCAGCCAGGGAGCCAGCAGTATGAAAAGGAGATGTCAACAGTGTCAGCTATTCTTCCTTAAGACCCACACACATGAAAGGTATACTAAGCCGCCTACTGATCGTTAAAAAAAATATATCTATCTAAGCCCTGGTTTACAACTAGGCGTTTTTGAACAGTTCGAAAAGCGCTTTTAACAGCCCAACACAAGAAGTCCCATGATTTTCAATGGCCCTGGCTCACACCTGAGCAGAAAACACCAGACGCCTGAAAAGTAGGGATGCACCGATACCACTTTTTTACGACCGAGTACCGATACTTTTGATCAAGTACTCGCCGATACCAATTACCGATACTTTTTCTTAGAGGGACATTTCACATTTTTTCTAAAGCAATACAAACTAATGATTTAAGGTCAGTTTCTTAATATTATGATTCATGAGATGACGAGGGAGCATGACGCCACCTTTCCGGCCAATCAGAATGCCGGCGCTGCGTCATTACACGGCGCCCGGCTTCCGGATTTGCTAGCTTCCTGACCAATCGGGAAGCCAGGCAGGGCGTCATTACACGCTACCCAGCTTCCTGATTGGCCGGGAAATCGGCTCCATGCTCTCTCATCACAAGTGACGAGAGAGCATGGAGCCGTTTCCAGGCCAATCAGGAAACCGGGAAGCCTGTAATGATGCGCAGCCTGGCTTCCTGATACAAGAAGTACTCGTGCTAGGTATCGGAGCATTTGGGCGAGTACGAGTACTCACCCAAATACTCTTTATCGGCACCGATACCAATACTAGTATCGGTATCGGTGCATCCCTACTGAAAAGGTACATGAGCTTCTTTGGGCAGTCAAAAGCGCTTTTCCTCCCCTTAGACTTCATTGGCAATGCCCAAAAACGCTTAACAGAAGCATGTTGCACATTTTCGTGAGCGTTTTTGCGCGTTCTTCCATTGCCCACAATGGTTTATGAGCACGGGCAGGGCCCTCCTTACCATTGTGTCTTGAATTGTATTGTAATTATAATGTCTTCCCTATGTTGTAAAGCGCTGTGCAAACTGTTGGCGCTATATAAATCCTGTATAATAATAATAATTAACTGCCAATCAAAACGCGTGTCTTCGTGTACGCGCGTTACAACGCGCATACAAATGTGCACAGCGCGCAAATAACCGCATGCTGCTATCACGCATATAAATGTGTGCCTCCTAGCTGTGAATTGGGGCTAACTGAATGCGACGTGCAGCCAAATGTTGTGAATATAATAAACAATTACATTGGGGTTTTTTTCTGTGGGAAAAAATACTGCACTGTTTTCATCCTGTGTTGAATCTCAGTGCTGCTATTCTTAAGACTTTTTTTTTTGCCCACTTCCTGTCTATATTCATGGTCTCCAGGATGGGTTCCTTGTCATTCCTCTGGTCCGATTTGCTGATGGTGACAGCGCTGGACCATGCATGTTTTACCGTGTGCAGAAACGGCCAGTTGTAGTCTCCATTGCAAGCCCATGTTTAGAGTGTGTCTACGCAGAAGCACAGCTGATGGACAGGGACAGAGCGCAGTCACCCGATAACAAGAAGTTCCTGAACAAAGACCTTCAAGGCAGGATCACCTGGGATTAGGTAATGATGGTATTTAAAAAAAAAACGTAAAAATTTGACTTCTGAGCTAACATGTTAAAGCTTATCTGGAATTACACTGATCGGGTTTACATCCATTTTCGGTTCTGGTGAAGCAACTGGGCAACTTTGCTCCATTTCTGCTTGCGTAGGGTCTTGACGTTTCCTCTGTGCCTAGTAAGAATGCTTAAATTTTTTTTTTTTTTGGAGCGGTAGAGACCATGCAATGCTGTGTCTGTGTACTTTAGGGATTGATTGGTTGTATAATGAGACCTTCTTCTTTTTATATTTAATGTATAAATCACTCATTTTACGAATGGTTCTTTTTGTCAAGTTGTGCTTTAGGTTGATTGGCTTTTTGATGGGACTTTTTTTTTTTTACCATCAATTAATCTAATAAGATTACAGGGAACATCCTGTCTCATCCTGGACCTAATTTCTTGTAATATACCGCATGGCTCGCCATCAATTAGACATGGTAATAGGATCCTGCGCTCTACACGTAGTGGTACGTATAATGACTGAGAACAACGTCACACGATTGTAGAACGATTCTGTGCTGGGTCACTTAACCTCCATTTATTTCCAAACTGCAGGAATAACAGGGCACCACACCCGCCCAGGTTATCTCCTAGTGACCTAATGGCAGGTATTGTCTGGATGGGTTAAGATTGGGTTGGGGGTGCAAAGTGCTGTTTACTTTGAGTGGTTTATGACTTTTAATTACCCTAATAGGTTTCTTCATGGACACTTCCTTTCAAGTCTGCTGTCTACTTTCCAGCCACTTGGCAAGGCTTGCCTCTCTAATCCAGCTCTACATTCACTCGATCCCTGATTGAAATTCTGTATTAATTATGGGAGAGTCTGTTACAAATGAACTCCATTAGCAGTTGATAACCGAAGTGGCGAGTGATTGTTGGCCTTCGGAGGAACGCCTTCTTCCTGTTTGGTTGTAGCTTGTGTCAAATTTTAATTCAGAGCTACAAAATGCAGTTTATTTGTGGCCTTCGTAGCTCTCAGAGGATCAAGAGAGAATTCCCTCTTATCCTTTGTTCTGGCTGTTATATTTTTTCCTGTGTTTTTTTTTTTTCTCTCGCTTTATTGACTTTTGTTTTTGTTTCTCTCGTTCTTTCTAACAATCCTTCAGTGCTTTCAGCAATTACCCCAGATTCTGCTTGTTGAACATTTGGGACGAGCTGCATTTACAAGAGCACAAAAGCGGCCTCTTGTCCCGGTTTTTGTCAAAGCTGACTGCTAATAATCAAGCAGTATGAACTTCTTCTTGCCTTGTGTTGCTGTGATATTTCTGCTGACTTCGATGTCTGTTTTATGTTGGCTGGGCAGACATGATGATAAAAGATCCTGTGCGGCTTTTCTTTTCTCTCCCTTTAAATATTTTTTTAGAAGCTAATGATAGAGACCAAAAGTCACATTTCAGATTTTTCAAGCTATTATAAGGCAACCAATGTCACAAGCACATTTACAGCTGACTAAAGGGCTATTGACATGATGTTGTTTTTTTTTTTATTATACGTATTTTATGTTATTTATTGCACTGCTGTATATTTACACAGCACTTTTCATGCTGTTCGTATACATTGGTCCTTGACCACAAGAAGCTTACAATCTAAGGTACCTATCTCATACGTACGCATACTAGGGCCAATTATCCTACCACGATATCTGTGGAGTGTGGGAGGAAACCTATGCAAGGACAGGAAGAATGTGCAAACTCCAAGCAAATGGTGTCTTTGCTGATTCAGGATTAGAACCTGGGCCATTAGTGCTGCTAGGCTGTGAATTGGGGGCCCTCAGTGCTGCTAGGCTGTGAATTGGGGGCCCTCAGTGCTGCTAGGCTGTGAATTGGGGGGCCCTCAGTGCTGCTAGGCTGGGAATTGGGGGGCCCTCAGTGCTGCTAGGCTGTGAATTGGGGGGCCCTCAGTGCTGCTAGGCTGTGAACTGGGGGGCCCTCAGTGCTGCTAAGCTTAAGTGTTAATCACTGGGCCACTGTGCCGCACACAGATGTGTAGATACTGTCGTTACTGCAGGTAGCTAAGGAGAAAAGTGGCAAAAGGGAAGAGTGTTTTGCTTACAATAGTGAATTGTACAGCATTGCTCATTGTCCAGACTACACTCAACTGCTGAAAGCTGATGGGTTCTTATGAGTAATGCCCAGTGTGAAAACATGGCTGGTTGGTGCCAGCCTTTTCTGACTTGTACATGAACACTAAAGTAAAGCATAGGCTTATAGTACCGGATGTCTGGTGCTCTCATGTCAAGCTTCACACTGACAACCAACCGCTGCCCAAGTCCCTGCACATGTGAGCAGCCTCCTGTGGCAGTTGAGGGGTCTTTGTCAAGGGATGCTTGGAACAAAGGCAATGGCAGAGATCTGTATAGGTGCTCCATTAAGGCAGCCTGCAGGTAATCTGCCTCTGGATTGCGCTCCCATCCTCATTTATTGTTCCCGGGATCCAAGATGGGGCCGCGAACGAGCACATATAGGCGATCTGCGGGCTATGGACCCGCTGATCGCCTATATGTGAAACACCCGGTACCAGGTGTTCGCATTGGACGGGTCTTTTCTGCCCGTGCGTGCCCGCTAGGGGGCGCGCGCGCGCAGAAAAAAATTGCCGTCTGGAGACGGCAACCCGCAGATGCTGCAGTGCCGTCCGTCCGTTTTTTTACTACGGGCGGACGGCAAGAGGTTAAAGGGAGAAGTTCAGAGTGAATAGAATATTAAACATTTATACTCGCCCTGATGCTTTAGCGTCCTTGTGTCTGGCTCTACCATGGCTCTTAAGACTGAGAGGTGGCCATTTGTGACCACTGGTCAACCGCTCTGGGTCTTTGCTCAGAGGGCACTTGTGGTCCATTGATACTTCCTTCCATCCTATAGCTGGGAGGGAGAATCTGCAGGAGCCTGATCATTGTACCTGAAATCCATGGATCACGATTTAAATGCTTTGCAGACCCCATGCAAAAAAAAATCATGAATTCATTTTGGTTTTTTTTTTTAAATACATTTTTAACATTTTAAATGTTTATAATTTTTTTGGGGAAATGCTTTAAAATGTTTGTATTGAGCACCAATGCAAATTTGGTGTTTGGCAATGGCATTCAGATATTTAGTAAGTGATTCTGTTTTGAATTGTATTTGTTATATGTAGTAGATATAACAAATACAATTCAAAACGGAACTAATATACCACTAGTTGCAGATGAGAAAATTTATTTCAGGCATTCCCCCAAGTTCATAAAATGTTTTTATGGGTTCCTCAAGGGTAAAAAGGTTTAGAAGGGCTGCTCTAACACTGCACATCTACATTGAGATCTGTATGCTCTAATATCATTAGAATAGATGGCTGGAGAAATTGACTTTTTTTTCAAATAGAACTAGTCAGGACTAGGCAACATGCTCTAAATGCATTGGATGTTATGCAGTAGGTCTTCGTTTTTTGGTGGGGTTGTGATTGCACAGCTTTGGTCTTTTAACCAATGTATCAGTGACTGGGGCCACACATCTACTTGCAGCAAGGGTGTGGGAAGTCTCATTTTGGTATTGATCAATACCAGAACTAGAAATATATGTTTATCAGCAGCATGGATGAAGCCTACAGCTGTGTGTTCACTAACTAGTACAGGGTGTTCCAACACGCTTGGTTAAAAGTTCTACCCTTGCTTTGCCAAGTGCCAGAGGCTCAGTTGGCAGAGCCATAGAAGAAGATGAGGGCTGGGGCACAAATGAGCAAATGAGAATAGACGTTGGGGTTTTTTGGGAATAAAAAGGCTTACACTGCTACATTGTAAATGCTTCACCAGGCACTACTACTTGACACATCTGTCATTATATCATGTTGTTTATTGGAAAGAAGCATATCTCTCGCTTTGGATAAGAAAATTCTGCAGATTGCTCCTTTTTGGTGCTCATGTGCATACCTCCCAACTGCCCCTCTTTCCTCTGCAGCTGTCCCTCTTTTTGGTCTGATATACAGATATCCATGATAAGGTTCTATTTACATACTAAAACTGTTCCGCACTAAAACCTTCATCCTATCTCTTGTTTATCTTATTTATTTGTTATAGGTATTTATAGAGCGCCAAGAACTTGCGCAGTGCTTTACATACTGTTCATTCACATCAGTCTCTGCCCTCAATGAGCTAATCTAAGGTCTTGTTTTCTATTGAATTGTTTTCCAATTTATTTGCGAAAAAGGCAATTCTGGGTTTCCCAATCCATTTTTTTGGCATATAAATACTTAATGGTTCACATAACTGTGGGCGTGTGACAATTACCTAGTGACATCGTGCTGGAAGGTGTCATCATTCACATCAGTCCCTGCACTCAAGGAGCTCACAATCTAAGGTTCCTATCTCGCATGCATGCATACACATACTAGTGTTGATTTAGATGGGAGACAATTATGAAACTAGCATGTCTTTAGGGTGTGGGACGAAACCCATACAGGCAAAAGGAGACCTTTAAAACTCCATGCAGATGGTGTCCTGACTGGGATTCAAACCAGGGACCACTAAACAAATGTGCTGCCCTTGTTATTGGTCAAAGCCATTGACAAGCACTGGACACTGTCATGTTCACCGTATCCGGTTCATTGAAGGATCAAAGATTAACCAACCTCCTTGCTTTGTGTTTGTCTTTCGTTGCCCAATGCCATCATCACCATAGCTCTTGGAATTGGCTATATTGCATCTTAGCAGCAAATTTATATTTACTATGATTTGGAAATGCTCTCTATACTTTGGTGTGTTTTTTTTCTTTGTGTATAAAACTGATAATTACCCATTAGTATGTGATTCTTGAGGACAGTAAATCTCTAGTCGGGGCTCAGACGTTGCAGTATGTGTTGAGGTGTTTTGGTTTTTTTTTGCTACACGGTTCTGTTGTTTGTTCGATGCATAAAGAAACATTTCTATTTAACCTAGCTTGGTGTCTATGAATATTTTATTGAAGCGGATTACTAGTACGGAAACAATTACAGCAG